AAGTGTGTTTGATTTATGGACCAAATTTTCAGACCAAGTTTATTGACCAAGTTAATCTGATTAATAAACTAATTATATAAAACTATTGTCAATTCACTACAATTAAACTAGTTATATGCCTTTACTTATAAAAAATAAAAATAAAAACTTATTTAAAAAATACCAGGCTTGAGAAATGTATTTTCTTTATGCAGGTCATACACACAGCAGTGAAATGGTTAAGCCCCTCCCCCTGCACACACACACACACACACAGACAGCCAGCCAGCCAGCCAAAGGCTCAGAGTGGCCATATTCAAACAAAAATATCTGAGTTTCTGTGGGTCCTAGCTAATAAGTGTCAATTAGAAAGTTGTCCGGCTCGAGGAGTACAATATACATACCAATTTTTGTAACTCTAGTTAAAACTAACCACCCCACTTTTGTCAAAAGGTGGCGCTACTGAGCCCTCACCACGCCCGTTTCTGCAACTTTGCACATGTCTACTGGCTAATAAATGTGATGTGTCTGTCGAGTTTCATGCAATTTGAAGCATGCTAAGGGTCTCAAAAGCATCCTAAAAGCATCCTAAAAGAAGGGCAAAGTTTGATGCGTCGCCACGGCAACAGTTTCAAAGATATCAAGAATCCATTCACAGGTCTACATCTGCCGTATGTTTACATTATACAGATGAAGTTTGAAGCAAATCGGGTAAAAATAAAAGGGTGATTTCAAAGCATTTTGAAAGTGACACACTTCCTGCTGCCAGTTGGTGGCGCTATAACTTTTACTCACAATAGTCACATCCATGTGATCGTCCTCTTACAGCGAGCACACTGCTGAAGTTTCATCAAGATCAGTTAATGTATGCTGAAGTTATAACACACTTCCTGTTTCACGTTTCTCGCCATGATTTCGTTTCCTCGCCACGGACAAACCGTTCGAGATATCAAAAATCCCCTCGCAAACTTTCATCCTCAATGTCTTGACTTCACGCTGACCGAGTTTCGTCGAATGTGGATCAAAGCTCTAGGAGGAGTATTTCAAATACCATTGCGAGCGTTTTACAAACAAACCTCAATAGCCGACTTCCTGTTGGGCTGGGGTAAAAAGTAAGAGCGCGAGGTATAGATGAAACGATGAGATCAACATGTGTACCGAGTTTCATATTATTACATGCAAGCGTGTTTGAGTTATGGACCGAGTGTTCGGACCCCGTTCCAGGGGGCGCTGACGAGCCCCCCTGCCACGCCCAGGTACCAGCTTCAGCCCGGCTCTGATGGCCGCGGGTTCTGACCCGTGTGCAAAGTTTCAAGAGTTTTCGAGCACGTTAAGGGCCCCAAAAGTGCCCAAAAGGTAGTAAAATAATAATTATTATAATAAATATAGCTGCGAGCAGCGATTGCGGGCCCAAGCCGGTGGCACCGCAACCCCGATGCCTTTAGTTACCCAAAGGCACCGGGATGGTGGTACCGCCGGCTTTGGCGCTTTATCGCTGCTCACATCTATATTTATATTTAATATAAAGCCGGTGGCACCGCCACCTTGGTGCCTTTAGGGTTATTCTGTACGACGTGTAAAAACGTAACTCCCGCTTTGACTATCAAAAAGAAGTGTATTGTAGAGCTTGCATCAATGCGGACTCGATGCGCTGTGCGCTGTAACTCCATGTGGCTTTAAGCGCATCATTCTCCACTCGGGATGCGCATAAGCGTTTTGTGCCACACTGTACTGAGCCTTTCATATCATAATGCAGTGACGCAATGACAGATTATTAATTGCCTTTCTTGTTCTGTTCTATCTATTATATGTTGATAATAGATAGGACAGAGCACTAAAAACCTCAAACAAAGCACTAAAAACTTAAGCTGTTTGCTGTGTAGTCTGAGAATGAGCTGTTTGATTTGCACCCTCTTCCTCTTCACTGTCCTCCGTAAAAACCAGCTATTCAGGTCCATGTTGTTCTAGAAAGTTTGTATGTTGCTGCCTCAATTAACATCTCCGCTATACATTTAAAACATGGCTATATCTAAAATAATTTATCTTTTTGATTTTTGTTATCTTGTTTTTCATGAATATTTTACAACAATACAAAGAGCAATGTGTATTTTTCAATAATATAGTTTGTAATGGCTTTTTTTGTCATAGATTATAATCATATATTTTTTGGATTTGTTATTTATCTTTATAATGAAGTTGTCTGTATTAAGTAGATTGTGTTTAACACACACAAGAGTGATTTATTAGTTCAACACATAGTTATAGAAATTCTACTTTATCTAAAAAAAACCCTGCACTTTATACACACACACACACCACACACACACACACACATAAATACATGTAAATAAAAATCCCCAAAAAAAAAACATCAAATGTGTTTTTAGTCAGAGTATTATTTTATACAGAAACAAATATTTGTAATTCAGATAAGAATGAAGTTAGTGTTTTAAAATCTTAAGGAAAACAAATATATTGAAATATAGCACATGAATTTTAAATTCATTCAACTTCAATTACAAATACAATCTTACTTTTATTTAAAGCAAACTATACATTTAAAAGATGGCGGTTATATGCCTATTTTGTCATTTAAAAATATTGTTATGCAAAATTGTTATGCAAAAAGACAAGGACTTAGAGACAAGGACTTGTAGGAAAAATCGCAGCCAGCCACACACACACACACACACACACACACACACACACACACACACACACACACACATAAACACAGACAACAGCCCTCCCCTCCCCACACAGACACACACACCCACACACACCCACACAGAGAGAGAGAGAGAGAGAGAGAGAGAGAGAGAGAGAGAGAGAATCGCAGGGGAAATAAATCCATTCAAACTACAATATCTGACTTTCTGTTGCTCAGAGCGAATGAATTTAAATTGGAAAGTTGATCGGCTTGACGAGAACAATATACGTGGTAAGTTTTGTAACTGTAGGTAAATTGAGCAAAGTTATAACACACTTTATGTGCCCTTTTTTAGTCATAAAATTCATTTCCTCGCCACGGCCAGACCGTTCGAGATATCAAAAATCCGTCCGGAATTGAGCATCCTCAATGTCTTGACTTCATGCACACCGAGTTTGGTTGTGATTGGTAAACACATGCATTGTGATTTGATGTATTTCTCCTAGGACAATTATTCAAACAACCCATAATTCATAATTCATAAATAACTTCCATTTGAACTGTCATAAAACTTAGAGCACGAAAGTTGTTTGGCCTGATGTGATCTTTAATTGTACCGAGTTTCATATTAATTCATGCAAGTGTGTTTGATTTATGGACAAATTTTTGAATCCCAGTCCAGGGGGCGCTGTCGAGCCGCCCTGCCACGCCCGGTTACCAGCTTCAGCCCGGCCCTGATGGCCATGGGTTCTGACCCGTGTGCAAAGTTTCAAGAGTTTTAGAGGATGTTAAGGCCCCCGAAAATGCCAGAGAAGTTGCACACAGCAAATAAAGGGTTAAAATTAACCTGACAGGCGCCCCTCCTCTCAATCACACAGAGAGACACTGAGAGACTGGCAAAATTCTGAGATTTTCTCTACATTCAAACAAACATATCTGACTTTCTGTGGGTCCTAGCTAATGAGTGTCAATTAGAAAGTTGTCCGGCTCGAGGAGTACAATATACATACTGATTTTTGTAACTGTAGATAAAACTAACAACCCCACTTTTGTCAAAAGGTGGCGCTACTGAGCCCTCACCACACCCGTTTCTGAAACGTTGCACATGTCTACTGGCTAATAAATGTGATGTGTCTGTCGAGTTTCATGCAATTTGAAGCATGCTAAGAGTCTCAAAAGCATCCTAAAAGAATGGTAAAGTTTGATGCGTTGCCACGGCAACAGTTTCAAAGATATCAAGAATCCATTTACAGGTCTTCATCTGCCATGTATTTGCATTATACAGATGAAGTTTGAAGCAAATCGAGTTAAAATTAGAGGGTGATTTCAAAGCATTTTGAAAATGACACACTTCCTGCTGCCAGTTGGTGGCGCTATAACTTTGACTCACAATAGTCACATCCATGTGATCGTCCTCTTACAGCGAACACACTGCTGAAGTTTCATCAAGATCGGTTGATGTGTGCTGAAGTTATGATACACTTCCTGTTTCACGTTTCTCGCCATAACTTTGTTTCCTCGCCGCGGCCAAATCGTTCGAGATATCAAAAATCCCCTCGCAAACTTTTATCCTCAATGTCTGGACTTCACGCTGACCGAGTTTCGTCGAATTTGGATCAAAGCTCTAGGAGGAGTATTAAAAATTCCATTGCGAGTGTTTTACGAACAACCCTAAATAGCCGACTTCCTGTTGGGCTGGGGTAAAAAGTAAAAGCACGAGGTATAGATGAAACGATGAGATCAACATGTGTACCGAGTTTCATATTATTACATGCAAGCGTGTTTGATTTATGGACCAAGTGTTCGGACCCCGTTCCAGGGGGCGCTGTCTAGCCCCCCTGCCACGCCCGGGTACCATCTTCAGCCCGGCCCTGATGGCCGCGGGTTCTGAACCGTGTGCAAAGTTTCAAGAGTTTTTGAGCATGTTAAGGGCCCCAAAAGTGCCCGAATAGTCGTATAAATAATAATAATAATAATAATAATAATAATCCTAAGGAAAACAATAGGGCCTTCGCCCTTTCAGGGCTTGGGCCCTAATAATAGAGAAGAAAAATAATCGCAAGGAAAACAATAGGGCCTTCGCCCTTTCAGGGCTTGGGCCCTAAATATATGGATATACATCACAATATCAATTTTCCTTATAATTGTCTACATTTATATTGCACGTATAGTACAGCATATTCCCATATAAATGTAAATATAGTAAATGTTCAAGTTTATTTAGATTACAGACAATTACTATATTTTATAACATGTACATATATATTATAAAGTGTATTACTGAATAAATATTTTACATATTTTTTAATATATGAAAAGCAGCAATTCCTTATGTATTATTTTAATATATTAACATAATATATTCTTCTGTATATTTTAAAATATACAATAGATAATGTAATATATTGATCATTCATGCATAAGCAAATATATTTTCTTTAGGGTAATGTCTTCTCAAGGGTAATCTGTGCCAGAAGTGTGTGTTGAGCTAAGGTTGATTGTCTGTTAGAGCGCTCCAACATGTCAGAGTAATTTTTGAAAGCGCCACAGAGGCACAGTGTTTATACTGATAGTCTATTGAGCACTCAAGTCTTCTATGAGTGTGTGCAAATTAAACTGAAATAGGAGAAAGGGGTTTAACATTCAAATAATTACACATTTACCTTTATGTAATCATGTACAGGGATGACAATCAAATATACACACAAATTCTCCCTTTCCCATGGAGTTTGGCTGGATACCACAACACATCCCTCATCAGAGACAGTGACACTAAGCCAAAGAAAATAGCTTTATAACCACAGAACCACTGTGATTGTGTGTGTGAATCGTACGTTAGTAGTAGGTCCCTCCTCATTCTCTGCCACACAGCTCTGAAGGTTGAAAGACAGATCATTGCAGCTGACCAATACTCTCTTTCCAAACTTCTCCTCAAACTGCTTCACATCAGGTTCGATGCCAGACAAATCGAGTCTCTACAAGCCAAAACATACACACAGAGCTCAAAACCAGTAGCTCACCCTGTGATTTAATGGACTGTTTATTATTGGAGCTGTGGCTCACCTGTGTGTCAGGGTCCAGAGTGAAGAGTTTCAGACGAGTCTCACTCCTCATCTTGGTCTCAATGTCTCTCGCACTCTAAAAAGCAAAAACAAGATGGCATTCACTAATTACTGCATCTGATTGGGTTTCCTGTTCCAGCATTATGATTGACAAAAAATACTTAATTGTTATTTTGTCTCAGTTTTCCAGTAAATCTGGTAAATCTTGGTTTCCAGTATCTAAACATCCTTAAACTCAGCATGAAAAGGATATTGCATTAGTAATTTTATTCCTATTGTGACGTATACCCGAGTGAAACATCTTCTCGAAATATTTTCAAGATTTGTGATCACAACATATTTTCTTTTGTCAAATCAACTTTATAATAATTTATTTAGTTGAGATAACTTATTATTTTGAGTTTCTGATGGTTAAATTAACCTCCTTCATTGTATTAACTCACTTTTTCCAGTTCAATGAACTTAAAATTTTAAGGCAACCAGATTACTTACTTTAAGTTAAACCATCAATATTTTTTACAGTGCAAGAAAAATTGTAGGGCAGAACTTGATTTTGTCCATTGAGAATTGATTGAATGGTTGTGAGTGACAGGTTGTCCCATAAACAAAGTCTGTAAACACATCATCAGAGAAGAGAAGAGATACTGGTGTGAGGGGAACTAAAAAAATATATAATAATAATAATAATAATGATAAGCAAGGATAAATCATTTTCTGCAATCTAAATCATTCTTTAAATATAAAGTATCAATTTTGATTTAATGGTAACTTTAAAACAAGATGAATGCAAAATTATATATGATAATCTGACTTGTTTTCGAACAATATAAATTTAAATGATAAACAAATATTATAATAAACTATGAATTGATTTCTTGCCATATAGGCAAATTAAAAAAATAAAAATAGCTATTTAAATGAATAATTAATTATTTGTTTGCCATTATTATCATTAAATAAACACTACTCTCTGTGCATTTGTATTTTTTTTTTTTTAGATAATATTCTTTACATTTTTAGTTTTCTCTTTTTTACAAAATTTAGAAATGTTTTTTTTTTTTGTATGAATGTTTGGATATTTTTACTGGAGAAAAAGGCATAAAAAATACTACAAAACTACTGAACATCATAGAAGTGATCACGGGATTTGAGAAAATTATTTTAGAGAGAAGTGGCGCCTAGACGATTGATTCCAGGGAGGAGAGAAAAGGAGGACAGGAGAATAAAGAGCAAGAGAGAGAGATGTGATGAGAGAGATGAGAAAGACTGTGTGTGTGTGTGTGTGTGTGTGTGTGTGTGTGTGTGTGTGTGTGTGTGTGTGTGTGTGTGTGTGTGTGTGTGTGTGTGTGTGTGTGTGTGTGCGCGTGTGTGTGTGTGTGTGTGTGCGCTCGTGTGTGTGTGTGTGTGTGTGTGTCTCCAAAGTGTGGGTGGTTCATTGTGGAATGGTTGGAAAACATTAGCCGAGAAGACTAAGGGTGGGTGGAAAAACTGTGGATGTGTAGAGAGAGGGCAGACAGTGAGGACGCCAGCGTTGAGATCATACTACAGTCAAGACACAGTAGCCGAAAAGCAGCATTTACCTTCACTCACACATACACCCTGTGAAACTTTAGAGGATTGTTTGTATAATCAGCTAATGAGGACATACTATGTCTACATGTTCACAATACCTGGAAACTGTCCTGAAAATTCCCTGGTGATATGTCTGTCTTGCCCAGCTCATCATCTGTGTGAGAGAAAACACACATGCTGTACTGAAACTCTCAAAACCAGCAAACTCAGTGGTACAGCACACAGACGTGAGTCTCAATGTCTATAATTCAACAACTATAACTATATCTCAACAAACAGCACATAATAGTGTCAAATCATTAAAAGCAAACACTAAAATGTGGGTGCTCAAACATTAAAGCTGTCAAACTACCGTACATTTTTATGATGTCAGTGAGTGTTGTGGGTGGTTGATAGCGCAGCTATACACTTTCTAAGGTGTGCTGAGTGGTTTTAATCATTCATATCTGTATGTGGTTCTAGAGAGTTTTTGATGATTGCTAGGGTGTTGCTATGGTATTGTGGGTGGTTTCTAGGGCATTACTATGCTATACTTTCTAAAGTATTCTGTTTTGAAAATGTTGTGTATCTGTATACGTGGTTGTTAGAGTGTTTTGTTTGATTGCCAGTGTGTTGTTACATTCTCAGAAAAAAAAGGTACAAAAGCGGTCACTGGGGCTGTATCTTTTCAAAAGGTACACTTTTGTATCCAAAGGCTACATATTGGTCCCTTAGTGGTACATATTAGCACCTAAATGTACATATTAGCACCTGAAGTGTACAGTTTAGCTCATGAAATGGACATATTAGCACTGAAAATGTACATATTAACATCTAAATGTACATATGAACACCTAAAATTGACATATTACCACCTAAAATGGACATATTAGCTCATGAAATGGACATATTAGCACCTACAATGGACATATTAGCTCATGAAATGAACATATTAGCACCTAAATTGTACATATTAGCACCTAAATGTACATATTAACACTTAAAATGTACATATTAGCACCTAAAATGTACATATTAGCACCTAAAATGGACAAAAGTTTACCTTTTGAAAAGGTACAACCCCAGTGACAGCTTTTGTACCTTTTTTTCTGAGAGTGTAGAGTATTGTGGGGGGTTGTTAGGGTATTGCTATATGGTTTCTAAGGTGTTCTGAGTGGCTTCAAACATGTTAAAATTGTGGATGTTCTGGTTAGTTCCTTTCTGTCCCAAGATATTCAGCGCCCTAAATATGACACAGGTTCCTCTTTCAAGGGATTTTTTCTCATTTTCTCTTCAGCAATCTGCATGATTTGAGGTATCATTCGTGTCTGTCACACATTGCGGGTCAAGTTAGGCACTAAAAATGAACTTAAACTTAACTTGTTTTTTTTATCTTCAAATACCAAGCCCTAATTATGACTAATAGCAACAGTCATGCTGCTCCACTAGTAATTGGTTAATCTGGTTCCGCATTCTGATTGGTCAGCAGGTGTTTGTTGTTTTATACTAGGCGAGAGGAAAGGAATGTGCAGTCTCCTTTGAAACTCATCAAATGTAAATAAAGACTCCCAACCTCCTCTCCAGTGTGAAATCCGAAGGGTTTAAGAGGTGTTAAGTGTTACTGTTTGTGTGTGGCTATGTGTGCGTCAGTTCAGGAGTGTTGGATATATGCATCTATCCATTAAAACACGTTTAAAGAGTGGGTGGTCTCTTCAAAGAAAACATACACATAAAGGAAACACGACCACTCAGCTGGCTCTTCAAATACACGTCTGTGCGCTCAAACTGTGTCAACAATCTTGTATTATCGTATAGTAATGTATCAACACACTCCACCTGTCATACATGACATCAAACACACACATCTGTGAATTGCACACACTCTTACTGGCCCAATCACATACCATCGTGCAGTTCCCCGTTCCTCCTCTCCTGCATGGCGAGCTCAAAACTGCTGTGGAGGATCTTGTTGAGAGTGCTGATCCAGTCATCCATCTCTCCTTCGCTGTCTGCAGCCAGAAGATACGTGCTTTTATCCTGCATCTTCAGCTCAAACGCGAAACGCCGCACTTTACTGTTCTGCACACAGAGAAAGAGAGACATTTCTAAATCACGTCACTGGCAGTGAATAGCATAGCTCAGATCTTGGCAAAAGTCTTCTCAAACTCATTTGTGCAGAAAAGTGGGGTATTTTTTTTTGTGGGAGAAAAATCTGTAAAGCAGGAGACTCTACACACTGTCTAAAAGAGAAAATAAGACATAGATCTCATTTGTGACTTTTCTTTCCTATGGGAATGCGAGAGCACCAGAGACTTTGGGATGATTTTACACTTAATGCATTTATGATGAATTTACACTAGAAATGACTATGGAAAATATACTGTGTCTATCCTGCAGGAGCTGAAAGCTATTTATTCCCAGACGCCTGCTGATGAATATCTGGCCGCTTTACATGTGCACCTGTCGAAATGTTTTGGTTTTGGAGCTAGAAATAACTTCTACTATTTCTCTTTTGTCCGAAATGTGGAAAACGGACAGAATGTCAAAAAACAGATGTCGAAAACAGACAAAACAGGTTGTGCATGCATACCAAAGTAATACTTTTCAGGAGGGCTGGTGAATCGAAGAATGATATCACATTTGCACTCACACACACAAACACTGAGCGCAAAAATATTTGACCCTGGGAGAAATAATGCATGAATTAAGGTGGACTTTCTCTTCCTCTTTCTCTGCAACCCCCGAGTAGCCCCATCTGAGAAACTAACCATCCAAACACTGATATCCCCTCTTGGTTGCGACAAAGAAAAAGACTCATGAGGATGTTATTAAAGATCTGAACTCTTTTTATAAACTATGTTGTACTGCAGTAAATACACAAAACAAAGCATTTATTCTTCAGGCGCCCTTATGAACATTAAAGGAATGTTCCAGGTTCAATACAAGTTAAGCTCTATCAATAACATTTGTGGAGCAAAGTTAGAATTCTAACTTGATTCGCTCCCTCATTTAAAAAAAAAAAGCGAAAAATTACAGAAGAATACGTTACAATAGAAGTAAACAGACCAATAAACATAAATAACATTTTCTTGACACACTGAATAGATGTGTAAACTTTTCAACTGTGTACACAACTTTCAGCAGGTTTAGACTTTATTTTAGTTAAAATATTTGTAAAAACATTTTATAAAAATATTTGTTTTATAAAAATAAAAGATCAGAAAGTGCCTTTTTTAATTACCAAAAGACAGCTGTATCATTAACAATGTAACATTTTTTACTTTATTCCCCCAGAAAATATAAAAAATAATTTTCAGAAGTTGGAAACATGTTAATCATAAATACGTAATTTCAAGTCACTAAGTATATAAAATATAAATAATTAACTACCATAGTACGATGCGTCGTTCTACCAACTAACCAAGTCAGTTTCTGAAACTGTAGTAACATGGTTGACCTCTATCATTTGAAGTGGAGGTATAATAACTTCTGCTAATTAATCTTTTCGAGATCTCAGAGATGCTCGAGATGCTTCGAGATCCTCTGAGAAGCCTATCTGAATTTGTGTCTTAATATAACAATTTTCTATCCACAGAGGGGGCATAGCCTATTTTAAATGTATTGAAATTAATAAGGCCAACTTCGAGTATCATTTGAGTATCTGTTTGCTGGGCCATGTGTCCTGGTTTTTGGCAATCAAAATATGTTCACCCTATGCAGCATCTTTTATTAAAATAAAAGTTTTGCCAGCATTGCGATTCTCTTTGTGCACTTTTTACAAAATTTAATGGGCGCATGCACGTTTAAACACAATTTAAACAACGAATTAGGGATGGCTTGATACCACAATTTTGGCTTCGATACGATACCAGAACCTAATACCTCGGTATCGATACTAAATCGATACCACAGTCGGAAAAAAGTCTAAATTTAAGTGAATTGAAACAATTTTATTAAACACTGCTTGAAACTCTCAACTACCATATGTGCAAAGAAAAGTATCCAAAAAAAAAACATATCAAATTTTAAAAAATAAACAAATTATGTGTAGGTAAAATTTTGATTTGGGGAAAAAAAACACTGATATTATACAATTGAAATAGGTTAATATCTATAATAATAGATTAACATAATAGAATAATGAAATGACGTAAACCATCAGCTGTCATGCATCAACAGAGAATTATCAACATTTATTGCATTTATTCATCTTGGTTTGGTTACTGTTTGTGTTTGGGTTCATATTATGCATATAATGCATTGCAAAAAGTAATGTTATGATGCTAAACATTTATTAGGATATTACATTTTTAGGTCATTTTATTACTGATTGATCTAGATTAATCAATGCTATATTGTTAAGCCAGGTTCCTTAGTGAATGTTGACAAAATTAATTGTGGGCTTATATTATTAATATTTATATTACTACCATCTCTCTCTCTCTATGGGTCGCCACAGCGACAGTAATGCCATTCATTTTACTATCACTTTTATGCTTTATTAATTCAAATTAAATGAATATATTTGTTTGAAACTGCAAAAATGATGAGTTCATAAGACGGTAACTTAACTGAATTGGTTCTAGCGTGTCATGCAAGAAGATTTGAGCTTTCGTGTTTACCGTATCATATTTAATTGATAAGCTCTTATGTATGTGCGCTGTTCAGTGTTCAATAAAAGTCTAAATTAAATCAGTTGAATGATGAACTCACCAGTTGATCTCTTGAGTCTTGAACAAGTCAGGATGAGCAACTGACGAGCTCTTGCATTCCATGGCAACACATTATTGAAAGCAAAGTTTGCAGAGTGGTGCATTGAGGTCTGTTTCTACACTATTCTCATTAATTTAGTAGGCAAAGTAATGCCTTATCTCACTCATACTGCTCTCTCTCTATTTATTAATTTCGGGCGTGTAGAAATCCGAATGAGCTTCATTTCCACCGTGTTCCTTCGTTTGCCGGTTTCGCGTGACTCGCGTCAGTTTCGGTAGCGCACTGCCGCCTAGTGGAGAACTTCGGAACAGCAGCTCATCAAATACCGAATTTAACAAAATGATGATATTGTACCGTTTGAAATTTATTATATAACGGTATTTTTGCAAAACCGGTATACCGCGCATCCCTACAACGAATGCATACAATTTCATGCATTACTTCAATATATATTAAGAAATAATGTCTTAAGGTAAAAAGATGAAACAATTAAATGCATTTATGGATAGATTACTACATTTTATTGAATTAAATGCATTTATGGTGAAACTACTACATTTCAAGGTCAATCGGTGTTCATTTTGACCATGAACCATGCTCTGGCACTTTATTTCTGAGTTTGCAGCACAGCAGCAAAGCACTGAAAAATGTTCATACGAGTGGTCCTCCTCTTTCCCCATTAATAAGAGGAGGGATACGGAACTTGACATGATGGAGTCCTTCTGTCACGATCCACACTCAGGAAACACAAAAGATCCAATAATGCAGTGAGTTTTAATGGGGAAATCCGTACTTACAAAGCAGTCCAGGCAGGGGCCAATATGCATATAAGCAATCCAAACACAAGTGACAAACAATAGACAGAAACTGACCATAGATGTGGTGTGATAAAAGACAAGGACTCCGTAACAAACACTAAACAAGCAGGGTACTTATATAGAACAATGATGAGAACAGACAAGGATTGTGGGAAATGCAGTTTCTAATGTGACTGACACCGTGGGGGAAGAGGAAAAACTAGTGGTAAACCAGGGAAACACAAACCCATACTGTGACAACAATGCTTTCGTTAAACACAACCCTGGACAACAATCTGAGCATCATGTCGTTGAATTTGTATACTGATATTTACCTGGATGACACCCATGCATGAGTCCAGGAAGATGGTTCCCTTGGGTTCTTTAGATATTTTCTCATCTTTGTAGAAGTTCAAGTTGTACGATCCATCTCCCAGCTGGGTCAAGTGGAAATACCTTCTCTTAAAAGACTAAAGGGAAAGACATTTGGGAGGGAAAGAAAAAACACAAAAAGCATTAAATGAAAACAGCAGATTTAAACACGCTATGTTTAGATGTATAGTAAAACTAATGACTGTTCTAAAAATAACATCTAGGGGTAAGGGACCATGGGAAAATGAATTAGTGAGAACTGGAAGTTGGTGCAGCCCCACTTCCTGTCTATGCACAGTGAGCACAGATCTGCTAAGAGGAGGACAGGGTCAGAGTTTGCTTTGCTCTGTCCATGATTGAAAACAACCAGCTGAACACAAAGCTATGCAGAAACTCGTATGCATGGATCCAATGTCAAGACTGTGAATTTATGGCATGCAGCTTTTGATATGGTGTCAACTTTAACATCTATATTTTTGCATTCATTTATTTTGTGTCTACATTCTGTTTGTATTCTATTTGTATATTCTTGAAGTCTACCAGGGGATAGATGGTGTGGAGTGGTTTCCAGATTTGTATAGTACATATTTGTATTTCTTGACCTGTCAAAATACAGTTAACAAAAAAAGAAACTGCACCCTGTATCAAATCAATGACATCATCACTTTATTTTATAGCTATGTTTGGAATGACTCACTACCATACTACTTTTTTGCAGTATGCATATCATGCACAATATGAAAATCTCCTGTATGCATGAATAATTTTCAAAATGTGCCATAGGCAACCAGAGCACAATACTTGGAATAATAAATCCCACAATACATTGCACTTGAAGTGTGACAACAATGATATGGAATTAATATCAACCATAATTTCGACTTTTAGAAAATTAAAAATATATATATATTTTTAGATAATAACTGAATGCCACTTGCTGAATTAAGCATGCATTGGTGTAACATTAATTTTCACTCAGAAATTTCAAGCAAATTCCATAATTAATTACAAAGAAACAAGTTACACATTGAATTAAACGTGAAATTCTGAAAGAGTGAAAAAGTATTTTCTTGTAAAGCATACTCCAATAGACTTTGTTTTATTTACAACTTCGAAAAATAATTTTTACAGTGTGGTGACAGCAATACAGCCTACTACTTTTTGAAAAGGTTATATTTGCATAATGCGTTGTTTTGCCTTTTAAAATATATGCAGTATAAACTGTGTAACCCCTCAGGTTCTTCTAGGCAGTATTCAGTATGCTAGTATTTCATTATGAACATCATTATGTTTAAGAACACCATGTTTCAGATATTTTTTTGTCATCACTCATCATCAAATCAGAAAAGGACTTGAGTATATGGCTAACTCACCCTCATGGTAACACTGATGGCACTGTTCATGTTTGCTTTATACAGCCAGCCGTGCTTGGACACGCCCCCTCTTTGGGAACCCAATGATGCGGCATCCTTCAGGAACCACAGATCAAGAGCACACATAAGAACACACAGAAGCGCAATCATACACCCACTCAGTCTGACTTCATCTGTTTCTTCAAAACATGTCGATATCTAACACATTTTCCCACATTAGAGCCTCTGGATGCCCTCTCCTTGTTTCGACCCCCTCAATTATTCATGTGCTCTCTCATCCCTACAGGGAGCAGGCTTCAAACTGAACAAACAAACTCCATCCCTGAGCGAGCGTTTAGACAGAATGGCAGACATGGAGCTGGAATTCTGGGAAATGTAGGTGAAACCCAATCAGGGGATCAAATGGCCCATAGACAGCCGAGTCATGCGTCTGTTCTTTCTCGAAGGCTAATGTAGTCCCAGAGGCTCTGCACAAACGCATTACTAATAAGCTGTAAGTTCCTTATTATTTATTTATTCTGCTTATAAGACAGTGAGAACAGAGAGGAGGAGAGCGAGGGAAATCACTGTTGTGATGAAGTATGGCGCAAGGAAGTACAGTACGGTGTAGAGCCCGACCGATAAAGGATTTTGAAGGCCGATACTGATACAAATATTTTTTGGTTTTAAAATCCGATATTCCGATATATCGGCCGATATATTTTCTCAGAAACGCGCAACAAAACATTAACAGATTTCCCTAACATACTTATTTGTAGTTATTTATGAGTTTTAACTAAAATAATATGATCAAGCGTTTTAAAAAGAAACTTGTTTCTTTTGTCACAACAGAACTGTCACGATTCCTGTCTTGTGTTTTCCTTGTCTTGTGTGGACTTTAGTTATTTCCTGTTTCTGTGCCATGTTTTGTAGTCCTTTGTAGTCTTTCTTGTTTAATAAGTTTCCCCAGGTGTTTCTGATTTACCACGCCCCCTTGTTCCCTCGTTTAGCTTGTTTGTCTTGTCTGAGTTTTGTTCTGAGTTCCTGTTTCCAAGTTCTTTGTTCTCCGTGGATTTCCCTTTTTGTTTTGTTTATTATTATTATTAAAAACTGCTTACTGCATTTGGATTCCTCCTTGCCTCCTCAACGTTACAAGAACAGAGGAACATCAAAATATATTAAAGTTCTGATAAATAAAATCATAATTAGTCCCTACATTGCCTTATAATTACAATGTCAGCTTAGCTAGTCTATGATGAGCCATAATTTAGCAATAACGTCATACTGCAAATTGTAAAACATACATTTTCAATTTAACAGGCCAAGGAGAGATGATTGATGCGTTTCGTCCGTTTTTATTTTATTTTTGAAATATTCATTTATCGGCCATTACAAAAAAATGTCTAATATCGGCAGATAATATCGGCCACCCGATATATCGGTCTGGCTCTAGTACGGTGAATACCATTTCCTTAAACTATCACTATAAAAAAGAAAATGCTAGATTTAAGAAACAATAGCAACAATGAGTTTATTGCTCTCTTTCATAAGTTTATAACACAAAATTCTAGACAGATTGAGTTTAAACATATCCCTAAACTAAACCACATATCTATAATGGCATATTTGGGGGTTTCTTATTAATTTGCTGCTAGAGGTCGCTTATTCAAAACAAAGGTGTAGCCTGATGATGCCGTGATTTCGCGACCTCTTCTGTTTCTTCTGGTCATACAGTATATGTTGGGCAACAATTTAGATACATACATTTGAGTGTGTTGAAAATGATGTTATAATGCTACTCTATGCGTTTGCTACTGCTGTTACTGTGACACACTGCAGTGAGCTATAACGATATTAGGCATGGTAAATATGGTACTCACAGTAAATCAAGAAAACGAGATTTAAACAAGAGCTGTATAACAATGATTAGTTTTCTGTCAATGAATGTATTCAAACTGTTGCTCACCTGTCTAATAAAACACACAATATATTAAGGTGTCTTTAGTGAATCCATGGTTTCTACAGTATAAAACCGGAAATCGAGGTTAACGCGGGTATGATGTCATTGATAGGCGACACACGAACACAGTCTGTCTGTGTCCTGGTTAAAACTGCCTATTTTCTCTGGATTTAAACATTCTTAGAAACATTTGGGATAATGTACACAAGTCAACAAAATATATAACATTGCTCTAGTGGCCTTTGACAATTTTAATCCACAAATCTTACATATTGTGCCGTTAAGGGCTCTTTTGGACCAATGAACTGATACCCCTGGTGCACTGAAAAAAAGTGCCCAGATTTGATGAAACACTCACTTATAGACACAGTAAAAAAATCACAATGCAGAATCATGGGAAATTTTTCCTTACCTCCTCTTTATCTGCGTCCTCGTCCACCTCAAACACGTGACTCGCTAGCTTCTCTGGCCGAGGAACTTTACTGAAAAAAAAAAAAAAAAATTTAATTATAAATTCATATTTTCTGCCTGTGCAAAAGCCACCACCACAATGATAGAATATTGAGGGTGGTTGCCAGAGTGTTGCTAACGTTTGCTAAATTACTTGTATTAAGTGTCTTTAAAGTTTAACCATGTATTAACATTGAAAATAATCATTTGATACAATGCACTTATTATGTACACATGTTTTAACATTGAAAATATATATTTTTTAAAATACCTGCATGTAATTGCAGCTGTAATTAATTTAATGTATTACATGTATAATTAGTAATTACACTGTTGACCCGTCCCTTACCCCGTCACCACCACCAAACCGGTCCATAACCTTACCATTCCCATATACCATTCCCACCTCAATAGCAAAAGTATTTTGCAATTCCATATGAACACAATAAGCACATAGTACTTATTTTTTGAGGTTAGTATATAGTAGTTGGACCCTTAATATAAAATGTGACCATGTTTTTGAGCGTGTCGCAATGTGGTTGCTAGGTGAAAAAAAATCTCCCCAACAAGCTAAACGATTTGAGGGCACATTCATGACTATACCACATACTGTACATTTGACAAACAGGTTCAGCACTTATAACTCAAGGACACAGTTGCTCTTATCCTTCACACAGCTGATGCAGAGTGCACATGTGAAAACTGCATTAGCAGAATTATCATGAAGGCATGGGGTCGTAATGATGATGATGATGTTGAAGCTTCACAAACATGTAACACATTATCTCCGTCTCTTCCATCATCATCATCCCTCCTGCTTCCTCTGCGACCTTTTACCAAATGCCAGACACTGGATGGCTCCTGATCTCCACAATATGATTTGCCAGGTATTAACCCTTATAACATCTATCTGTAAGTTGAGACAGGACGTGACATCAGTGGATTACAGACAGTGGCGTTTGGTTGCTGCCTTGTCCTGAAACAGGTACAGTATGTTTGTGCTGAATGACAAAAGGAAAGAGGAAGAGAAAGGAAAAGTGAGGAGGAAACAGGAAAAGAGCTGCTGATGGTTTGTTGTTTGTTGTGAAGAACGCCACGGCATTTTCCAAATTTAGCTCAGGACGAGACCACGCTGTCAACACTGGGCAGGACAGGATGAGGACACTGATAGTGTGTAAAACAGCATCTCTCCCTCTTTGACACACACAAACGCACTGTGCAAACCCAAACAATGACTCATTGGCTCTCTTTCAAAAACGAGTGAGCCGCCTTGGTGTCGACTTTTTAAGCATTGGCAGTTGTCCTCTAAATAGTGGTTGACCTGTAGGTTTTCTATAGGCCAATGCCGATATGCTAAACTAGAGGATGGCTAATGGCTGATATAATGGCAGAAGCATAACACTATTTATTTTAAAAATGGTAAATAAATAACACATACATTCTGTAGCAGTTGTAAGTAAAATGTAATAATAATTGGAACTTCATAAAAAACACATCTGTAAAATAAACAAAGTTAGCAAGGTTTGTGGCATTAAATGTTTATCAGATATTGAAAGTATTTGAAAAGGGTATGTTTTATAGAGTAGGAACGAGCTTAATACACAGCAATAGAGCGGCTCACACAAATCATATGGGAGACTCAACTCACAATTTGCTTCAAAAGTTTGCTTTTAGCATATTGCTATGGTTATGTTACAATACACAAAAATATTGGCTAAAACTATCCATATTTATTTAGATTAATAATTAAGTTTTATATAAACGTTTCAATATTGCATGAATTGTAATTGGATTCATAATCAACAATTATCATAAATAAATGATTTTATTTTATTATACAGTATATATATATATACTGTATATATATATATATATATATATATATATATATATATATATATATGTATACATATCATTTTTTATTTTTTCCTAAACTTGTCGCAATGCATTATGCAAGTTTTAGAAAGATTTATACCCGTGAAAGCTTAATATTTGGACTGGAAAAACACTGTAGTGTTCTTACTTGAGATTGTTTTAAAAGGATTTATAAATCTATATGAACAAATAACTTGGGTGTTTAATAGAAAGTTGATGTGCTTTTTTTTCAGAATGATATTTTGGAATGTAGAAAACTTCTTTAATTATTCAATTATTATTTCATAAGGACAATAACATATACATATGAAGAACTGGTGTCTTTACAATCCAAATTACTTTAACCTTATGTAATTACTTTACATAAACCTTTTGGAAAAAACTAAAAGCAAAAAAAAAAAGTGCTAGAAATGTAATGATTTAAAAGTACTGAAATGTATATCACTTATTTGTCTGTCAACTATTGTTGTGACTAATAATGTGACTAATACCTCTTGTGGCACTGAATAATTATTATTTTTTTATGCCTACTTTTTTGAACAGCCTACAAGTCATGAGCATGAATATAATACCGCAAGATCCTGCCTACATAGACAGCTAACAAGGTTTTTGGAACAGTGCCGTTATATATATATATATATACAGTATATACTGTATATATATGTTGTTTCAATAAAGACCACCTGTACTTCAAATAGCGATATCGGTTACTTTCCAGCTCTCTTTTTCGATCAGTCTTATGATCCTTACTTTGGAAGTTGGCGGAAGTCTCCAGAATAATCCTCGTATTTGTAGTTCACCATATGCCAATCAGAGTTGTAGGTCTTGATGCACTAGAAAAAAAATAAAAGAGAAAAAAAATTAAAACATTTCTTTGTCCTCATTCATATAGAAAGCAAATAAACACATATTAGCATGCACACACACACACACACACGTAAAGACCCCGATTCCCAAAAAGGCTAATACTTTTCCCGTAATCTAATAAGTATCATGTTTTCCATAGCAATCTATGGCAACAACTTTTTTAGAAAATAATTTCCTCACTGCGCGTCACTGCCTGTACTAATCACTGGTAAAACTGTCACCACACCGCACCACAAACAGACACTAATACATCCCCTAGGCATTACATTACAGAAGATTCAATTCTATTTGGTTTGTTTGGCAAGGCAATCATTTAGTCCTCAGCAGTTCTGAAAGGGATAAGATGAAACTAAAAGCCTCTAAAACCTCAAACGGCTTTCTCACGCTTATTTTAAATCCAATTAATGCCGAGAAAGAGGAAGTGAGTAAGAGAGTTAGATGAGTTGACAAAGTAAATTTAAGACCATTCGGAATTACAATAAGCATTCAAGTGTTGATTCAAAACTAAATGTCTCCGTACTACATCTGTAACTTTTCTTTTTCCTTTAGGGTAAAATAGAAATATATTAAAATAAAAAATATATATATAGCTAAAGCTGCAGTCCGTAGTTTTTCCTCTTTGTCGCCATCTCTGTTAGAAATCTGCAATTGCAGTTATTCTTGGAATTATCAACTTTGTGGGTCATGCGGCACAGCGCAGATGAATAAATGTGCCGCTGTCAGTCACCGCGCCAGTGTGGATACTGTCATTCAGAATCACAGATTCACTTTTTGGAAGTTTGACCAACATAAGAATTTTCACCATAAAATCTGAACAAGTAAGTAACATCCACTTTTTTCCTGACCAACTAAGTGGCAAAAAGCATAGCAGTAAATTCCGCTGATTAAATTAAATAAGACTGAAGATTTCTTTCTTTAGTTGAAAAGAATTAAGGTTTTTGATGAAAACGTTCCAGAATTTTTCTCTATATAATGAACATCAATGGGAACCAATGGGTTTCAGTGCAAACTGCAAACTGTTCAAAGGGCTTTAAATGATTCCAGACGATGAATAAGGGTCTTATCAAGCGAAACGATCGCTCATTTAAAAAATAAAACAAAAAAAAAAGTTTAAGTTTTATAAGTTCAAATTTTCGCCTTGCTCTGATGTGCGTTCGTGACTCTCCAATTGGAACTCGTTCATCAAAATGAACGAATCTTTTCCTGAGTCAACTCGTTCATTTCGTTCGTTGAATGAACTAAATGACACGGAAAAATATTAGTTCATTTTGATAAACGAGTTCGAACAGGAGAGTCACGAACGCGCATCAGAGCAAGGCGAACATTTGAGCTTATAAAACGTAACATTTGTTTTGTTTTTTTGGTTTTAAACGAGCGATCGTTTCGCTTGATAAGACCCTTATTCATCGTCTGGTGTCATTTAAAGCCCTTTGAACAATTTGCAGTTTGCATTGAAACTGTCTTTTGGACCTTGAACCATTTGGTTCCCACTGAAGTCCATTATATGGAGAAAAATCCTGGAATGAATTCATCAAAAACCTTCATTACTTTTCAACTGAAGAAAGAATGACATGGACATCTTGGATGACATGGGGGTGAGTAAATTATCAGCAAAAGTTTTTTTAAGAGTGAACTACTCCTTTAAGCTTTTATTTTTTTAAACTAAAACAAAAAGTATTGAGACAACTAAACCACCAGCACAGATGACTTATGACATTACAAAACAAACTAATTAGAAAAAGAAATTGGCCAGCTCATCTTGTTTGGCTTCCTTTGTGGTTTACAAAACAAAATGACAAATGTTTACTCAATTGAACATATTTTATGTCAGAAGTTGTCTCCCAAGAACGTGTTTGCAAGTTTACCACAGCAATCCTACAGAATGAATGTTGTTCTGGAGTGTACAGAGGACGTGTGCACTTGACTAATGGTCGAGGCAGATGTTTTGATTTGTGAAAAGCTGGAAAACTGGCTCTGGCCCAGCTGCCCATGATGATGTCACTGAGCTCTTTAGTGGGAGGAAGTATCATTTTACGCTCTCCGCTGTCGACGCCCAGTGCCTGTGATATCCACACAAATCTATTGACCCAGACCTCACACACACCTACGGTTTTTCAAATACAAATATATCAGATTTAATGAAGATGCACCATAAATTGGCTCGAGGAACCTCTCAGAGTCAGTTTTGTCCTTTTATTGACAATGACAATTCCTGTTCAATTAACCTTATTTCGCAATGCAGAATTAAGTTATTTTTCTGTGAATGTGTGAGATTTTCAATTCAAATGGGTACATAACTGAAGTGCAGTAAACTGTAAAATATTTGCACTACGTGTTTATAATTACAATACGTTCAAATAATACGATAAGAAATATAATATGATAAGAAATATCAACTTGCAGTATCAAGCAAAAAATTAATAAAAATAAAAATAAGTAATCTCCCTGGTTTTAGTTGTATCTAAAGCCTTAGTCCTTCCAATATGATTATTAATGCCCTACGGTAAATTTGTTGTGCATTGTATGTGAGGGCTTATGGCAGTGGTTCCCCATTCAGGTCCCGGGCCGGATCAAATCATCACCTTCTTAAAAGAATGCTCCATGAACTGAGCTCCATTCTGATTGACAGGGTCTCTACATAGTAGGGATGGCTTGATACCACAATTTTGGCTTCGATACGATACCAGAACCTAATACCTCGGTATCGATTCGATACTAAATCGATACCACAGTCGGAAAAAAGTCTAAATTTAAGTGAATTGAAACAATTTTATTAAACACTGCTTGAAACTCTCAACTACCATATGTGCAAAGAAAAGTTTTCAAAAAAAAAAAACATATCAAAATTTAAAAAATAAACAAATTATGTGTAAGTAAAATTTTGATTTGGGGAAAAAAAAACACTGATATTATACAATTGAAATAGGTTAATATCTATAATAATAGATTAACATAATAGAATAATGAAATGACGTAAACCATCAGCTGTCATGCATCAACAGAGAATTATCAACATTTATTGCATTTATTCATCTTGGTTTGGTTACTGTTTGTGTTTGGGTTCATATTATGCATATAATGCATTGCAAAAAGTAATGTTATGATGCTAAACATTTATTAGGATATTACATTTTTAGGTCATTTTATTACTGATTGATCTAGATTAATCGATGCTATATTGTTAAGCCAGGTTCCTTAGTGAATGTTGACAAAATTAATTGTGGGCTTATATTATTAATATTTATATTACTACCATCTCTCTCTCTCTATGGGTCGCCACAGCGACAGTAATGCCATTCATTTTACCATCACTTTTATGCTTTATTAATTCAAATTAAATGAATATATTTGTTTGAAACTGCAAAAATGATGAGTTCATAAGACGGTAACTTAACTGAATTGGTTCTAGCGTGTCATGCAAGAAGATTTGAGCTTTCGTGTTTACCGTATCATATTTAATTGATAACCTCTTATGTATGTGCGCTGTTCAGTGTTCAATAAAAGTCTAAATTAAATCAGTTGAATGATGAACTCACCAGTTGATCTCTTGAGTCTTGAACAAGTCAGGATGAGCAACTGACGAGCGCTTGCATTCCATGGCAACACATTATTGAAAGCAAAGTTTGCAGAGTGGTGCATTGAGGTCTGTTTCTACACTATTCTCATTAATTTAGTAGGCAAAGTAATGCCTTATTTCACTCATACTGCTCTCTCTCTATTTATTAATTTCGGGCGTGTAGAAATCCGAATGAGCTTCATTTCCACCGTGTTCCTTCGTTTGCCGGTTTCGCGTGACTCGCGTCAGTTTCGGTAGCGCACTGCCGCCTACTGGAGAACTTCGGAACAGCAGCTCATCAAATACCGAATTTAACAAAATGATGATATTGTACCGTTTGAAATTTATTATATACCGGTATTTTTGCAAAACCGGTATACCGCGCATCCCTACTACATAGTGTTCCCTGCTCCCTAGGACCAGATTTAGGAACCATGGCTTAAAGCAAGACACCATAGGTGAATATGTAAAACATATCAGATGAAAATATATCACCATACTTTCCCATTGATTGATTTTTTTTTATTAAAGTCGGCATGAAATCAAATTTGACAAATCTTCTTTTTATATGTAATATTGTAGTGTTTATTATAAATGATTTATCGGTGCACTTCATTATTTTTTCAAATTCATGTACCCTTGAAATCTTTAATCAGACACATTACCCTTCCCTCCTCCATCGAAACGACCTCTCTCTCTTTTGGTCACGTGGAATGGCAAAAGGGTGCGTCCAGATCCGATGAGGGTGCGGCTATCGGTGTAACCACCTCTCAGAGAATCGCATTCAAACTGTTTTGCAACACTCAACCTCCAACGATCCAATCAAAAAGGATGAAATCAAGCCCTGCCCTACATTTTTTTCTAATTTCAGAAGCCGTTTCACTTGGATATACGTCACGACAGGGAAAAAATGACAATCTCAACTTCCGTTTCACGCCGACTTTAAAAGTGTTCTAAATATGCAAATGAGGCATATTCTAAAAAACATACAGTATGCATTAATTTACATACATTTCCAGAACAGAAACCTGACCGAATCTGACTAAACCTGACTAAGAAACCTGACTAAATAAAAACAGGTTCAACTTTCAAATTTAATTTTGTTGACATATAAGAGTCAAAGCTTTTATAGAGGGTATACAAAGTTCTGTCGTTAAACTCTAGATGGCGCAGACTGATGGGTCCTTTTAACTCAAACTGCTTGCAATCACATCATTCTCTATATAGGGCACAGCTAATTGGTTCCTGCTGTATCAGTAGCCAATAACCTCGCTGCTCAACCTTCAAATACCGGTCAGCCTTTTCTGTACAGATGCAGGGTGCTTTCGGAAACCCTCCACCCTCCCCAGCTCCACCTGTGTAGATCTGCTACGGGTAATTTATGTACTATATTGCGAATCAGCGAATCAGTCTTACTTGCTCACAGCAGCGTGCTGTAAACGTATTGGCAGTAGCAAGTCCTGTACCTGGTTTCATCAACATAGAAGATCTATCCACCAAGACCAAACATATCAACATGGTCACCATGTTTTTAGGAATAAAATGCATTATAAAATCAGTCGAAAATGTAAAAAAAACAACAACAAAAAAACAAAACAAAAAAAACATGAGAATATGGAAGGGAATAAAACAGTAAAGTTTGGTCTATGTAAATACTAAGTGGAGATTTCTAGTTTGCGTGCATGAGAACAAAACAAAAATTGAGAAATATGCCTTTAAAGACATATTTTGTAAATGAAACCTACAGACATATACATGTTTATAAAAAGAAAATAACTTATTTTTTAGATATTTTCTTTCCACTTGTCTGAAACAATATGGAAAGCTTAATAGGCAAAAATCTAAAAATTGACCAGTGCATGAAAAAGCTGTTTTTGCCTGTAGTGTCTTGTCTTTTAAACTGCTATTCAGGTTAACCGGACACTAAATGCACTTACAGTAAATAGTTCAATTACTGTAAGTCATTATTATTCTCAGCAGATAAAACATGTCTCCTTTTAATGTAAATTATGCTTAGCATTAGGCTTAGATTCCACCTTATTTTCAAAGCTCAATGCTATTTCCCAAACACAATTGACTTTGAACTATTCTAGCCTGCAGAAAGTAAGATATTTGTGTACATTTTTTATTTTGACAGCAGTATTTCATCAAACGATGATCAACTGCAAGAGAAGAGAATCGGAACTGGACCAGACATCCAGATATCTGGATGATGACATATCCAGACACGTGGTCAAGTGCATGTTTAGATGATTAAGGTTCATCGGGTGATGATGAAGTCTCAGAATGCAATTGATGAATTCATGCAATTGAGCTCTTACCTCCTGGACTAGCAAGCTGCTGGCTCTCTTTTCTGCCCCATCTGGAACTGAAGAGTACAGTGTTCTGCCCTGACGCTTCAAAATGGAGATCTATGAAGAAACATGTGCAAACGTTTCAGATATTAAAAAAAAGACAAGCACATGGACACGCATAAAGAAGGATTTGTCAATGTAAATCTGACCATTTCTTGCAACAATTAAATTAATCATGTTGGCCAACAAACAAAAGAGAGGTTTTAAATTTAACAATGGACTAAGAGGATTTTGGTAGACTGAAAACGTTAAGTGTAATTTAACAGTAATTTTTTTTATGTCCCTAATCTAAAATCATTGTTTCTGTGTTTATACCTGTTTTGTTCAGTTTGTCTAAGAGCAAACAACCCTCCCCCCAAAAAAAAAAAAAAAAGAAACAAAAAAGTTTGTTTAAATAGGATTTTCGCTCAACACCAGGAATATTGATGTGCACAACACATTGTATGTTAGTACATATATTTTATTTTAAAAAGCATTAATTTTAAAAAGCATTTATTTTAAAAAGCATAAAAAGCAAATAACGCATACTTTAAAAAGACATCAAAATAAACAGTCTTTATTTATAGCAAGTAAACTAAATTAAACATTGATTAACAAAACGTGAAGATTTGACTTTTTGTAACGCAGTGTTTCAGTGAAATAAGTGAATATTCTTATAACAATATAACACTCAATTATAACAAACATAACAAAAGATAACCCACGTACAGGGAGACAGGCAAAAACAGAGTACTGGTAAATCCAATCTCAGAACAAGGACGGAAAACAGAGCTGAAAACTTCCCACACCTAACATCCATAAAAGACAACACCAAACAAGAAACACTGGGGTATAAATACACCAATACAAGAAAAAACGACAGACAGGTTAACGAGGAAGAGGTGAGGGTAATCAATCACTATGGCAACATACAAGGGTAAAGAAAATCAGGGGGAAAAAAATAGGAGGTGGACACTGGGAACAATGGGAAGAGAAATAAACTTCAAAATAAAAGTTCAAATAGCAAACGCAAGAAAACCAGGGAACATTTACAATTGTTTTATAGCTATTTTTTAATATAGAAATTAAGTTGTAAAAAGTCTATCAATAATTATATTGACTTACATTAAGTAAAAATTTAGCTTCTGTCTAAAGATATTATATTGATTACAATGATCTTCTGTCTAAAGAATATACTGATTAGTTATGGGCTTCAAAATAAATAGTCTTTTTTTATTTGTATGAATGTTTTTGTATTGTTTTGTGTTTTTGAATGATTAGTATTAACCTCTTATCAAGCACCGGCCCGATTACGGGCCGTCGAGGGCGTGGCTAAACTTTTATTACCTTTTTAAATCAAAATGTAAGATTTGAACTAAACCATGAATATAATTTGAAAAAAAATATATATATATACTGTATATATATAATTTTTTTTTTTTTAAGTTGGTCATTTTTTGTGTGGACATGGACTGATTTAAAATAACTAGCATATACAGTATATACAGTTGGAGTTCCGGTCATGTCTCTGGCTTTATCATTGTACAGAGGCTCATATGTATCTTTCTAGGACACGTCGTCTCAGTCTGCATTCATACTCCAGCAAACATGCGAATGCCTTTGTGTACATAGCCTGAGGCCAAATGTGAAACCAACATTGAAAATGAAGCTAAATTTCCCATAGCCGTACAGCCATAGGTTTTACATGAAGCGCTGCACTCATTATAACCAGCTTCTACGCTTGTGGTGCCTCTAATATGAACTGGAAAAACATAATCAAACTATGCTTTCAATTAATCATTATATTGTTACGATTATTAACCATATTCATAAACACTGCATTATATGGCAAAGTGAGTGTGTGTGTGTTATGAAATTGTTGTTTCTGGCAGTGGAACCGCAGGCTTTATCTAAGGCCAAAAATGTGCAGACAGGGAACTATTAAACTCTAGTGTAAGTGGTATAATTTGGGAAGAGCTACTCGTTAATGTATAAAATATGATGTAAAACATTTTGTAATGAATAAATACTAAATATTTCTACTTAGGGGTGGCGGTAATGGTCACCAAAAGGAAAATGGATTAATAAAAAAGCAGAGAGGTTTGTGCGCGTGTTAGGTTTATGCTTTAGGTTGAATGTGACCACATATACTCTATATGATATACAAATAAACTGAATGCCAGTCATAACATACGCTACTTCTGGTTTGGCTTCACAAAACTATTTGATTTTGGCTTTAGAATTTATAAATTAGATTTATGGCCTAATTTCCTAACACTAATCTTAAAATTGAATTATAATTGTTTGGTTTCAGCAGTTGTTTGCAGAACACAGTTTTTTTTTCTGTTCCCCATAAACCAAATCCAATAACAATGATCTCTCGCATACACACCCATTTCTATAGGAAAACAAGTAGATGGTTCTATTCAGAGAAGCAGCTTGAGAAATCCCCTGAGACAATGTTACTGTAATGCTATTTGAGGGTTGAATTATGGTTGTGATGGAAAAGCAGGCCCCCATGAACACAGAGATGTACGACTAATGAGAAAACAAACTTAAGACACCACTGAGAAATCTAACATCTGCACAGGTTGCTGAAAAATAACATTTCAGAGGGAATCACAGCATGATTTCAGACTAACAAAAACTACTGACAGATATGAAACTTTACATGAGTCTCTGGCAGGGAAAATTGTAAAGAAGAACAATTTAGGAATGGATACTGACGGGAGAGCAGATGCTCTGAGAGCTGGATGTGTACGGTAGATAAACAGACGTTCTTACCTGAAAGTCATCAATAGGAAACTGCAGCATGTCTCTGAGGACATCGCTGAGTATCTGAGTTTTCCTCTGGACAAGTACACTCTCATAGTCCAACGGCTCGACCACTTTTGGTTTTACCTGGAGACAAACACACAGACGCACACAAAAGTTCAACAGGAGCAAATTAGATGTACAGGACTTCAAATCAATATAACGAAATGAGGACTTTAAATAATCCATGAATGACTGTATCAATGACAGAGGTTTATGCTGATCCTCACACCGGTCTGGTGTGTTGACAGAAACATTCTGCTGAATTCAGTCAGGACATTAACGGAGTCATGTACAATTTTCTAACGTTTTCTCCTGATGTAAGAGGATTAACAGTACAAGTATTTTCTTCAAAGAGGCAAGGGAGGTAATGTCTCCAAACAATTATGAGAAAATAACCAACATCCATCTATTTATGCTCTTAACCACTTCTCCTTAGGGTAGGAGGAAGATTAGGAAAAATGATCAACACACTGTAAAAAAAAAAATATGTTCATGATTTGTAATCACAACATTTTTTCTTTTGTCAAATCAACTTAGATAATTTATGTAGTTCAGATAACATAATATTTTGAGTTTCTGGTGATTAAATTAATCTCCTTCATTGTATTAACTCAATTTTTCCATTTCAATGAACTTAACATTTTAAGGCAACCAGTTACTTATTTTAAGTTAAACCAACAATATTTTTTTTACAGTGCAGTACAAAAATACACAAAGAATAGTAATAAGAGATAAAAATAGTGTGTAAATCACTATTTTTTGTAAAATGACACTGTCACATAAAATTGAACCTGGAATTCATTCATGTAAATTAATGTAAGCTCCATACCCAAAGAGGCGACTTATAGTATGCGCTGTATTGTATTAATATTGTGTAAATGTAATAAAAATGCCATGCTGTCTGTCACTGTTACGTCACATACCAGAGCTACTTTATTTCACGCTACTTCACTGCCATTCACAACTTCCTATGGCCTCTTGGGATATTAAACTGTTCATAAGATGCCCATTTCAGAATCTCACCAAAAGTAGTAGGTCATCCGGGTACTTTTCGCCTACAGTTTTATGAATGCTATGAATTCATTCTCGTCTCACTTAATACTGTGGTATTTTTTTGTTGTTGCCTACCATATAGTAGAGAAGTAGGCCTATGTCCTTTCATTTCAGAAGTCAACTGTAAACCATTGATTTGCATAGAATTGTTTTAACAGAGTGGAAGAATCATGATTTTAACATTCCCTCATTTTACTCTTAGTTCTTCTGCTATTACGAATAATATATATATATATATATATATATATATATATATTACTTATTACCACAATGTGATGTTGCTGATGTCAAATTGCAAAAGTTTAGAACAAAGTGTCAGGGGACAAGTGAGGACGTTGGGTGTTCTGAAAGTTATAGTATAAATTCATAGTATAATGAACATTGCTATCTCGAAAGATCAAGGTAAAATTGATTTATCACTACATCATCCCTTTAAGGCATTCTGTTTGTCATGCTAACTCAGGTGCATTTAAACTCAGGTGTATAATCCTTTAATGCGACACTTAATAATGTAGTACAAATTTTCAAAATACCATGTTTTGTATGATGTGACAACATCAACAGGAATCAAAGGCAAACACAAATGTCTTTGTGCACAGATACTCTGTTCTGTTTGTTAGTGAGTAAGAGAGAGTTGTGAATGAGTATTGTGTTGAACTGTACCAGGCAGTTCACACACTGCTTCCCATAATCCACGCTATGATCCGCGCCAACAGTCTACATCACCCAATAAAGATGGGTGAACATGTCTCGGTTACAATGTCCATTGTGACATCATCGCTTCAGCACGGGACAGCAGGACTCTTGACTCTAACTGGCTAACATATAAAGATGGAAACCTCTGAGGTGAAATATTTCCTGTCCAACACACACACACACACACTTTCATGCCACATGCACACAGCTGTCTGCCACAACTATCTGTGATATGTGTTCAAACAATAAAGTGTTCACATAACACATTACAATATGCCTTTTATTTACAATAAAACACTTTTATTAATATTGCAATGTTAATATCTCTCTTAATATATTCATGTGCAGACAATGCAATGAAAAAGAAAAAAAAGTACCAGTAGACAATCAAGTGACATTCATTAAAAACAGGGAAAAACCATCAGTCCCACCATTCTTTTCAGCCAAACTCTACAATGACATGGAACATTTTCTGTTCATGAGATTAAATGATGGAATCTCACATTTTTCCTTCTCAGAAAAAGTATTCAGCAGAGTTTCAAAAAAGAATGAAAACAACAAATTGTGCTCTGATTTTCCAATGTTTGCAGCAGAATATTTCATCTAATTCATCCAAGAAATAAAAATATCTCAGATGTTCAATACTAATGTATATATACAAAACATACTGCATGTAAAATAACAATGTTAATACATTGTCTTCTGTAATTAAATACATATTTGAGATCACCATAAAGTCTTGTTTTCAATCCTGTGGTTTTACTGTGTTTGTGTGTGGAGGATTTCTTGGCTGTAATCCATTTATCGCGTGCGTTGATGGGGACTCCCTGCTGAGGAATGCGCTGAACTATTACGTTGATTCCATAAATTCATATAAAGCACATTACCAAAGCCTGTTAAACATCACATCACATACACATACAATTTATCAGGTCTGTTCTACCATTAAATTGACATGTTTTCATCATTCAGAATGAAATGTTTTAGTCTGACGATTTCTATGGCTTTAAAAATAATCAATATTCTGGCAACACAAGCAGCCAATGTGCCAGTCTGAATGCCAACCTCAATTCCCACAGGTCACTCAGCACAGCCAACACAAACACCTACTAATGAATACAATGTGATAATAATTAGGAACTTGCCAAGGCTAGGCATGGTCATTTAAACACTCGCACACTCTTTTACATACATACACAACCCTGCAAGCAATGCTATCATTTCACCATCTAGGTTATATAGACCCGATATAATCCGGCTATGATTAATCCACTTCTAGCCAAAATAAACATGAATTTGGTTACATGTTGTTTTGCCAAAATAACTTGCGAGATGTATGATATTCCATCATAAGCAAAGTAAACAGTAGAGCCAGACCGATATATCGGCCGGCCGATATTATCGGCCGAAATTAGGCATTTTCGGCATCGGATTCGCCAGTTATAATGGCCGATAAAAAAATATTTCAAAAATAAAATAAAATCGGACGAAACACGCTTCAACCATGTCATGAGTGTTGTTGGAATTGTATAGTTTGTCCACCAGAGGGCACTCTACACCCTCCCCGTTGACACAGTCGTTGAGTTGGTCACGAGACATACATTGCTTGAATAACAATTAAAAGAACATAAAGAGCATAACAAAATCTGTGACTATCATGTCCAGTTTTGCTGCTGTTAAATAAGCCGAGAGTGAAGCGGAATTAGCAAGTAATAATTACGTTACGTTGTTTCAGTGTAGTTGACTGACTGTCCTTTTAACTTCTGACAATGTGACTGAAGTATTTCTTTAATAGCGTGTGACAGTTATAGCAGTGAGACGTATCATCTCTCCTTGGCCTGTTGTATTAAAAATGTATGTTTTACAATTTATTTTGTATTATGACATTTTCCATTGCTATTATGGCTCATCATAGACTAGCTATCCACAATCAGTCTGTTCTGTTGTGACAATAAAAGAAACAAGTTTCTTTTTAAAATGCATTATCATATTATTGTAGTTAAAAGACATAAATAACTACAAATAACTAATGTTAGGTAAATCTGTTAATGTTTTGTTGCGCATTTCTGAAAAAAAAAAAAAAAATCGGCCGATATACCAGAATATCGGATTTTAAAATCGGTCGGGCTCTAGTGAACAGTGATTATGGTGTTTGGTTTCATTTCTTAACTAATTTCATTTCTTTCTCTAACTGATAACTAGTCTATTTCTTGGGCTATGGATTAGACGTCTACAGACAGCTCAAATTTTGCCTCGTTTTAGCCTATGTCTGGGCTGTGTTGGACAGACATTTGGAAGAAGCTGATGCTTCTTTGTGAAGAACGTCCTAACAAACTTCTGGCACACTCATTTGCACACACACACACACACACACACACACACATGTGTATGTTTGCAGGACTGCAGAAATGTGTTGTGTCAAATGTCAAGCTGGAACTGCAAAGGAAGAGGAGGGGAAAGGGAATCTCATTAAACTGTCTCCCTCCCTTCGGGCCGAAGGAGGATCTTAAGGTACTGTAGACTCAGACGGCCCTCGCTGTTTAACTGGGCTGTAAATCCTTGTTCTCTTGCTCTGATTTGCCACAGACACATGAGCACACACTATTGTATATAGACACTGACGAACACACACAACTTCATTCCGCAAATCAATAAATCAGCAAAAGTTTTTGAAGCGAAACTTTGCGAGCTGATCTGAGCAACATTACAGGCCAGTAAAGAGGGAGTGCGGCACACCAACACAGGTGCAACAACTCAAAGATCGAACCATAAGAAAACAACAATGTGCATTAAGAAAATGAAGCTTTTTATATATTTATTTTAATCAACTTAATAATTGAGTAAATATTCCTACCCAAATTACCATCATCGTACTTAAAAAATATATATATATATTAAGCATTTAAACATGATGGTATCATTTATTTTACCTTAGGTAGATTTGTTTTACAGTATTTGTTGTTGTGTCCAGAATACAGTATTTAGTCAGAATACAGTCTGTTTTACAGCAATAAGAATTTGGAGGGGAAATGTACATACGCTTAATTAAAAATAATGGAAATCAATCATTTTTATTTTATTTCTAATGAAGATTTTAAATAATATAACTTAACTTTCCTTATTTAAAATATAATTCCTTGCTTTGTTTTTGTTTTCTTATGAAATGTGAAAAGACCAATCTACTTTTTTCTGTAATAAAAAAAAGTTATGACCACTCCTAAAGGAAAATATTAGATTGCTAACTTCTAAGACTAGACTATCCGACAACTGAAGTAGTAGACTTAGATGTTCCTTGTGCTTTAAATGGTCACATAAGAGACTTACCCCTACGGGCGCTGCTGTTTCCCCCTCTACCTCCATCTCCCCCAGACTCCTGCCCTGCTGAGGTGTTTCACACACTGCATCTTTACGGGCGGCTCGTCCAGCCCTGCCCTGCATGATCCACAACACGCTCCCTCCAGAAAAAAAAAAACTGAACTCAAATCAACTTCACTCGCAGAATAAAATAAAAAACAGGCTCTGTCTCGCACAGGATTGAGCTCTGCAACAGCCTGAGGGTATTCTCCGTTCTCTGCTACTCTCCCCCCGGCTGAGTCTCTCTTTCTGTTCTTCCACTCTTCTCTGTTTCTGAACTTTACCATGTGGAGTTCTCAAGAGTGTTTTCCTCTATCAGTTCAGGCCCTCCCTCCCTCCCTCATTCTCTCTCTTTTCCCTGTGGGAAGCAAAGACCACTCCTTCACACAGCTGTTCTGGTATGGGGGAGTGTGTGTGTGTATGTCCATGTCCACTATTGTGTTGTCATGCTCATCTGTCCTCCCTCTGCGTTGAAACAGAGGTCTTAATTGTCTGTTTCACCTGTCAGAGAGCAACACCCAAAGCCCATGAGTGTACTTGGAATAGAACAAATAAAGAGACAAAAAGTCTCAAACAAAAGAGATAAAAATATCCCATTAGATCTATTGCAGTTTTTTCCCATACAGAGTAAGGACACTTACTATGAACTATTTAACAGGTTTTTACCGTATAGCATCTTTTACGATTACAATTACAAATCTATTTTGCTCAGTTTTCCTTAAAGAGAAAGACTATAAGATTTAAATGTGTATATTTTACTATAAGTAGTAAGTACTAGAGCCAGACCGATATATCGGCCGGCCGATATTATCGGCCGATATTAGGCATTTTTAAATATCGGTATCGGCAGTTGTAATGGCCGATAAATGAATATTTAAAAAAATAAATAAAAATGGACGAAACACGGCCATATTCAATCATCTCTCCTTGGCCTGTTATATTGAAAATGTATGTTTTACAATTTGCAGTATGATGTTATCTATTGCTAAATTATGGCTCATCATAGACTAGCTAACCACAAAGCTAGCTAATGCCACTATCATCAGTGGAAGACCGTTAACATTAATGAGCTTGGAAACCACAATGAACCTTTTCTGCCTAAATAAAGTAATGATTACCGTATTTATAACTAGCATATCTCTAGTTACAGTCCCTGCATTGTAAAATGTAAGTTATACTTGCGAGGAGTGAACATTTAGACATAGAGAAAAAGTATCAAACGTATCTTGTGCAGAAAAGTTATCTTTTCTTTTACACGTGTGTGAAATACAACATTATTTAATACAAAAAAATATCGGCCGATATATCGGAATATCGGATTTTAAAACACAAAAATATTTGTATCGGTATCGGCCTTCAAAATCATTTATTGGTCCGGCTCTAGTAAGTAGTACAATACAGAGTACACTAGCATAATTCATATAACCCCTAAACAAATAGAAATGGACTAAAAGCCACAAAACAATCTTGATCTTGATCATTATCTTGATCTCTGTGAAAACACAAAATATCACCCTGCATCCATCTGTTTCTTCAATTCCATAATATAGAACTTCATAAGTAAAAATGGTCTCATATTATAAACAACTCATTTCCTTCAAAGCACATTCACACAGCAGGATAAGACACAATTACAGATCCGCTTATCTGCACCAGTCCAGCACTCTGACGTCTCCAGAAAAGGTCAGACGACAGTCTGACATGGCGTACGATTAACATTCATTCATATTCAGAAAATCAGCAAGAGCACATATGTACAAAAACACAATACCCTGAATTCGGTGCCCATACTTTTCAGCAATACACACATATTCCTCTCAGGGGTCAAAAGTCATCCTTAGGAAGGGCAGGATATCAAACAATAGTCCACAGAAATGTATTATTATATTTCATATTTTAATAATGTTAATAATAACAATATATTTTCATTCAGATGTTCAGAACTCACTGACATAATTTCTAAGGTGTTCTCGATGGTTGCCAGGACATGGCTATGTGTTTGATAATGTGTTCTAAGTGTTTGTTACAGTGTTCCAAGGCAGCTACTAGGTCATAGCTAAGGGGTTGCTTGCTGGCCCAAATTTAAAAGAGCCTATTCCAATGTCTTCATGACATTCTGATCCCTTGATATGGATCCGTCCTTTAAAGCAATTTTCAAAAGATTCTGATAATTTCGAAATATACTAGCACACATCTCGCTACAAAGCTACAAAGTCCTTAAGCAGGCAAGAGGGTGGGAAAAAATGAAAAATGGGGAAATGTGTCAGTGCTTTGCTTTTGTGATTCTCTGGGGAATGCAAAAGTTCTGATAATGGAGAAAATATTACCGTAAATAATAGGAAAACTATATTTAAATTCTTTGCTAGCAAAATTTAATTTCCGTTTAAAATTCCAAAAGATTTACAAGCAAATGCAAAATCATTAACATAATTTTTCCAACCATCTCATATTTTTTCTATCACCATGACCCATTAAGGGCTCTGAAATAAGCTTCACAATTTGAAGAATCATTCATATGAGTCAAATGCTCTGAACAGACCTATAATCCTCTGACAAGACCATTAAAAATAAATCTGAGACTGGTGTTTTTATGAAGGCTGTACAAATGCTGTTTACATGCTGTTTAAACCTGAGACAAAGCAAACATTATTTTACTCTTCCTTTTGTCCTGTTGTCAGGAGCAGCTCAAATGCGGGGAGTATGCTAGAAATTTAACAGGCATATGTATACAGTATTATTGTATTCAAAGTAGACAGCACCAGTGGTTATAATGGATTCTATGAGTTTTTGATGCAAAACTTGTGTTTTCCAGCCATTAAACCACTGAACGTCTATGGTGCAATGATGAAAAACTATTCGTCAATGTCTAGAGGCATTCTTATGCAAATGTTTTTTGACAGAAGTGCTAATAAATAATATATAACTACTATTTCACTATGTGTAACGATACACCAACACAGAGTAGGGAGAAGAACCCAGGTGCAGGAGTTTATTGAAACAAATGGAGATCAAACAGGTAAGTACCAAGTATGCTGGTAAGTTAATACAGTCTTTTAAACAGTCTAAACTGATACACCAATCGTGATGAGGATCACAAGGGTAAAAATCATAGCATCACAAAAAAAACAGGATCTCAGTCTTTTCGTGAACTCAAGTAAACCTCTGATCCAACCAAGGAAACGATTCTTCAAAAATCCATAAACAAAGGCATAGGAAAGGAATTATAGTACTTCAAATACAAACAACATAGTTGTCTGGAGCTAAAACCTGATTATAGTCTTATTATACTGTAGTATAGTAAAGTATATTGAACCCTAGGGCATTATTTGAGGGGACAGCCATTGGTAGTGTTGTCTGAAACCATAATGGACATTATTTAGTGCACTCATTTAGTCCCACAAATCACTACAATAACCTGCTTAATACCGTTGTACACTCAGCAGCTAGAGAATACCCATAATGCACTGTGACAGGTGTGCCGATTAAATTTCAGCTCCTAACCAGAAGATGGCACTTGCAGCTTAATCATTGATCCATCCATTTCCCAAACTGTTGGTCCAATGTGGGTATATCATACAGGTATAAATACCTTTTAATTGATTATTAAATAGTTAAATTAAGGTTTATACATGCTAGTTTCCATTATAGAGTTCAGAATAAATCTTTTCATTACTACTGGAGCTGGCAGTTTGCTAAGTTTCAAATGATTATTAAACGGCAAGCAAAAACTATGCAAAAGCGACAGCCCTTCTGGTGCACTCAGTGTCCGAATTAACTCACTCGTTTTCATTCACTCCTTCAAGTGGGCTATATTAGAGTAATGTACGGAATAGTGAATGATTGTGGGCGATTTTGAACATAGACTTGCTCTAAGCAATCGCAACAGACTGGGCCATCCAAAACAGAGTGTTTCAGGCAGAGAATGAAAAGAGGTGCAGCAGCAATGTACAATATGATAAAAAATTATGTCTTTTTAATCTTTAAATCATGTAAATGTATTCTAACAGAACCCAAAAATAATGTGAATATGTCATTGTGTTTCTACGAATTAAATCGATATCGTCTTGTACAACTGCAATCAAACAAATGAAACAAATCAAAAACCTACACACATACGTACGCACTACATTCTCCACACCCTTATGGAATTGGCTTGGGAGAGTTGCATAATCCCACTTTGACGCAATAATTGGGAAGATTCCCAAAGGGGGTCAGGGCAGGAAGCCAGGGCGGGGACCACTGACTGAAAAAAAAAAACATACAGAAACCCCAACCATACTGTATACACCCATCCACAGTGGGAGATTCACAGCTGGGCCTGAACTTTAGCCAGCTGGGGCTGTGTAACAGCTGACAGTGATGAGAGTATTTTATGGAGTTATACACACCTTTCAGTGAAAGCATAAGCTGTGGAGAGCAAGCATATTATCTAGAGATGAGC